CTCGAACCCGCGGGCTCAGGCAATCCACTCACCTCAGCCTCCCAAAGGCGCGGGATTACAGGCTGAGCCACCGAGCCCGGCTTTATGTTCCTTTTTTAAGGACGTCTTCTTTAATCTCTAAGGCAGGGCCTATCCCTCCCTTCCACCCTTGCATAGCGCCCTTCTTCACAGATGGGACAGTCTATTCTTGGTTTCACTCAGCCCAGGTAGGAACCCATAAGATCCAAGAGGCAAGGAGCTGTCTGTTGTTAGCTGCTGAATCCCAGTGCCCGGTGACTGATGTTGGAGAAATGTTTGTTTAATCAGGGAATGCACAGGTCCTTAGTCTCTTCCTCTGTAAAATGGAGAGGATGCTACTTACCTGAGGAGGTTAACAGAAAGGTTAAAAGTATTATTAACATAGCATTTACTCGATACACGGTAATTCCCTTTCCCGATTCTTTCTATGGGAATGTGTTTCAGAAGCACAAACACAGTAATAACTTGCTAGGGCGAGGAGACCTGGGAGGATTTCCCTGATAATATACCCACTGAGACAGACTCTGAAATTTAGAAAAGGAGTCTGAGCCCTGGGGGTGGAGATGGTGACACAGGAGAGCAGGGGTTATAGACAGAGGGAAGAGTGGCTGGCATGGGGCTGGCCAGGGCTTGGTGTTGTGGAGCAGAGGGATTGTGGCAGGGTGAGGACAGCAGGGGCAGGGGACAGGTAAGGGCACAACTGTTAAAATAAAGACCCAAACAGCTGGTGTGTGTGTGTGTGTGTGTGTGTGTGTGTGTATGTGTGTGTGTGTGCATTGAGACAGGGACAGAGAGGTAGGGAGTTATGATATAAACATAATTTTAGCTTTATAACCAATTCTGTAATTATGTGCAATAAGTCAGTACTTCAGAAAAAAAAAAAAAAGAACTAGCATTTGTTAAGCTACCTATAAGGTGCTAGGTGCTCTGGGTGATTATGTCATTGCATTTGTGTAACTTCAAGGGAAGGAACTGAGCCCCAATTTGACAGAAGAATCCTGGCCCCAGAGAAGAAGTGACTGGCTAGAGGCAAATAGGTAAGCTGAGGGCCCAAGCAGTAACAGTTGCCTTTATCAAGCAGAGGTCTGCTACTTGTCAGTCCCCTGCCCACTACTCTAAAGATATTAGATTATGTGCAGGAAGGTTTGCCATCTCTACTGTCCCGATGAGAAAACAGGCTCAGGGAAGGAGAGTATCCTCCTAAAGTCAAGCAGAAAGGTGCAGGCATTAGAATTTAAACTCTGGTCAATTGACTGCAGAGCCAGACCCTTTCCACTACACCATGAAATTATGGTTTAAGGCCTCTAAGACATTCTTATAAATATGCATTTGGATGACATTGTTAGCTATTAATTATAGGTGGTTCCAGTCATCCCTGAGTTTCCAAATGCCAGAGATATTTTTTTCTTTATCCAGACTGACACTAATTTGAATTACAGGTGCAACAGGCAAATACTATATAACAATTATGTCACTGAGAGACTATGGACATTAGAAATAACGGATGTCAAAAAAAGAGAAGCAGCAAAGGAACTGTTTCAAAAAGGATATGAAAGAGGATATGGGACTTGCCCAAGGCTACTGAGATTCAGGATAAGGAACAGTTTCCTGGGGCTGAGCTAGATGGCTCAGCCTGTAATCCCAGCGCTTTGGGAGGCCAAGGTGAGTGGATTGCCTGAGCCCGCGGGTTCGAGACCCACCTGGGCAGCTTGGTGAGACCTCGTCTCTACAATAAATCAAAAATTAGCCAGGTGTGGTAGCGGGTGCCTGTAGTTTCAGCTACTTAGAAGGCTGAGGCGGAAGGATCTCCGGAGCCCAGCAGGTCGAGGCTGCGGTGGCCAGGAGTGGCCACTGCACTCCAGTCTGGGTGACAGAGTGAGACTCCAACTCAAAAAAAACCACAAACAAACAAAACGAACAGTTTCCTGGGATGTCTCTTAAAGTCATATAGGGAAAGAATAGTCGAAATAGCAGATCAGGAACTTGAGGAAGGACCTTTACATTTGATCCACCCTTCCAAAATCTATTTAAACTGACTTTGAAAGCTATATTCTGGGACTTGCTCACTTGGTGGCGCCAATGAACTATTTAAGAAACAACTAGTTCCAAAAGAAAAAAATAAACAAATGGCCAATACTAGGTTCCATCACTTTCCTCATCAGAGCCTATCTAGCCAAACGCATTCCTGGAGTGAGTGGCCTAAACAACTTCTACCTAGGGCTCTCTTTAAGAAGAATTTGCCATTGCTGTTAGGGAATGCTCTACGTATTAAGGCAGACCACCAGAGAACTCCAAAGGGTGCTTTAAAAGGGTTCTGCACAAGAGATGAACATTTTCTGAGAAATGTTCAAAGAGCCTGTGCTTGGCTTGTATAGGGAGGTTTTTTAAAACACTTGGATTTTTCAAAATGTGTTCTTTAGAAAGGAGTAAAGCAGGGTCTTGGTTGGGGCCACTTGGCATCATTTACTTTAATATAAGGCAATGGTTGATTCTGTCACGTCCCTGGTTCTCTCCTGCCAACAGAACAAATTCATACTCTGAAGCCAGGCAAATAAAGCTATTCCACTGCCCTCTGCTCACCTCTTGTTAAATGCCCACCCACTCACCACACCTGGTAGGCAAACTAGACGTCTCCAGGTCTCTGACAGGCCAGTTTCTAGTGATTTCT